AGGTTCCTATAAGACATTTTCGTATGGGATGCTCGAAAGGAACATTCGGAGAGCGTTTTTCCTCACTATGCCTTTGCGAAAAGGAAGCGAAATGCAATCATGTCACTGGGAAATGCTCTTGTGCCGCAGGCTGGACTGAACGATTGTATGTTATTTCAATCTTCGTGCACCATGAGATCATAACATTTCTGATAATATATGGAACATGGGCCATTCATTCCTTTTTACAGTTGCGACATACCCTGTCCAAAGGGTACCTATGGGCTCAACTGTGCATTTGCGGCACGCAAATGTGCAAGAACGATGCCAAATGCGACCGCATTTCTCGGGAATGCACTTCTTCTCCCGGTTGGAATGGATCCATGTGAGTTGCTTCATTAGAAGGTTTCTGAAAGTAAAAGAATTGCAAAATGTGAATGGGTATTGAAAAAAAATTATTTGGTCTGAGCATATTGCCCTGTTTTAGGAGCATTTGCTTGCAGCTTTTTTTAGGCGAGATTATTTGTACTCTGAAACTACTTTCTTCCTCGGAAGTTGTGAAGATCCATGTCGGATTGGCACATACGGCCAATTTTGCGCATACCCTTGTGGCTGTGAGAATGATGGAGCCTGCCATCGCATTACAGGAAACTGTAGCTGCACCTCAGGGTGGATGGTAAGTGATCCCTTTTAAATTAACTCGGTTTCAATATCAGTTTTCCTTTATAACTCATGGAATAAGACTGCTTTCATTTTTATGCACAGGGAAGATTTTGTGAACAACAATGTCCAAATGGCCACTGGGTCTTTGAACGCCGGAATTAATGTGCATGTCCGAACGACGGGATTTCCAATCGAATGAATGGCTCATGTCATTGCTCCCCTAGCTATCGCGGAGAACAAGTTCGATATTGTTGCAATATAGCCACTTTTTCCTAGTTGCCTCCCAATCTGCATGCACGTTTTTTTTTCTTTCACTTAATTTTTTCTGGCCTTTGAGCGCCTTGTAAATGAAATATGTATACTTCCCTTTTTAACGCCATATCAAGGGATTTATTATCAACGTGGCTTCGTTGCACTTATTCTTACCTGTTATGTTTTCTTCGATTTTCAAAAGAAACTAGCAGCATATGGCCGCCATCGCTGCCTGCCACACATGAATCTCACCTTCTCCGTCACTGTTCATCAACTAAGAACAGCCTTAGTCCGATTTTCACTGATAAAATTTGATCTACAACTCACGATGGAACAGATGTGCATTAAAAAAGGCACAGTGTGCATCACTTTCTAGTGTGCTTAAAAAATAAACAAAAGTTAGTTCGTCATGGTTAAATTAAATTTATAATTTTTAGAACTAAGCACGATGAAGGGACGTGTCACACACGGAAATGAAACGTATATTTTTAATATTGAAACAAAGGAGTCCCGAGTAATGCATTTGAAAATCAAAGTACTTCAAAAACTCCATTCGCGGCAAAGATGCAAGCATAAGTATTTCTTGCTTCGGTCACATGATGACCTGAATCTTCTGCGCATCCTCGGAGCAGGCTCGCAAACAGGCAATGTACAAACAAGAATGGCGTGGGTAGGAAATACTTGAACGTTGTGGATACGGTGGTGTCGTGGTTGCACACTTGGCCAGCAAGTAGAAGGACCCAGGTTCGACTCCCGCTCGTCCCTTTTTTCTCCGTCCTTTTATGCCATCCGAACTCTTCCCCCACCCCTCTCTCCGGGTTATAACGCTCTCGGAAAAAAGCGCGAGCCCGAGAGAGAGGGAGACGTACACTTCGTGGCAGGCAGAAAGCGCCGCACATGGACTTGTGGACACACAGCGGCCCAAGCATGTACTGTACTGTGCATACATAGCGACCGACAGACGTCTGTTTGACCGGATTTCGTCCCGTGAACTCCGCCCACGTTTCTCAACCGATTTTCCGCAACGATAGCTCATTGGATTTGTAATTGTGTGTAGACGTGGAAAATCATGTTAGATTTTTTTCTGAGTTAACCTGACCCGGATGGCCTATTGTATTAATTTTGGATCGAATCACTTTCCAAAGTGATATATCATTCGGGAGATGGTGGACTCAAGGCGTTGCCATTTGCTTGGCACCTGACGACTCCCCTGGCTGATCAGCCTCGTCGCAACCCCCCCGCCATAATTCATATTGAGCTCCTGCGTACGCCCCTGAGAGAAGGTCATACAAAAGTTGACAGTAATTCCTAATTGAACACGTACTATACCACAGTATTCCCAGCTAAGGGTGGGCAAACGGCGAATCGGGGGGTGAGATTACGCGCGACACGTCATGCAGTAAGCTGTAGATCACACCAGACACGATTACCGAAAGATGAATTGAAAGTGATGAACAGAACAATGCAGAGTTTTCCTGCATGGTATTGGTGAGTTCAATGGATTCTTCCTTGTCCGATCTAGCTAACCCCTGTTCCGTGGCTAAACTGGTGTCATTCGATTCCAGGAGCGAACTGTGAATCATTTCACGAAGTGGAGAAAATCCACTTTTTAACGAAGGAAATGGGCACGGCGTGCTTTGAAGAGACAGCGAGGGATGAGCGGAAAGAAATTCGTTTGCCAACTGGCTCCTAATCAGATCAAGGGGGAAGGCGGAATGCAGCCCGGAAGCAGGGGAGATGGATATCTGCATTGGAAGGGGGTGTGTCAAGGTCGACCACTCCATGGAAGGAGGAAAGGGAGGGTATAAAAGCTGCTGCAAGCTAAAGTCTTGAGCAGTCTCGACGTGGCCTCCTTCATCACCAGTTTCTCTCCATCATCACGACCGAAGGGTAAGTCCTTGTCCTTATTCATTCTAAATGTTGTTTTGAGTGTGGGGAATTGTGGTGAATTTCCAATTAACTTCCGCAAAGTTACTCTATGAATTTGAATGTTGCCAGGAAGACGGGAGGTGACGAGAACCAAGTCCTTGAGAGAATCACTATTTCCACCGATCCAAGCAGCACCGCTGGAGGGGACGACGAACAGAGGTTCATAGCGGTTGCGCCATCTTCTCAGGGGATGACGAACTAAGGACCGTTTTGGCGGAGCCATCGCTGGAGGTGATGGACTGAGTACCATATCACTCTCGCCATCTCCCGGTAGCATCGGGGACCTAACCT